GGTCTTTATATTAAGGATCCTATTATTTGGGGTACTATATTAGGGTCCCCTATTTTCAGAAACCCCCATATGTACACGGTCTGTGCAACAAGATACGGAGAAGAGTCCGCCAAGGATCTGAAGGGACCCCGGGTTCTTTGCGAGGGCCAGCTGAACATGTAGAGCTCTGGGTTTGAAGGGGCTGCCCTAAACCCTAAATTCGACACTTTGAATCCTGAAACTTATGGAATCCTAGTCCTAAACGCTAATCCCCGAGGCGTAAAACCCAAAGGCCTTTCAAGTCCACGCAACACCCAGGGCTTCCCCAAGATCTCGCTCAAACTCGAACATTGATCGGAGGCCAACGGGGGTGACGAAGATGACCGGTGTCTTTTGGTGCTTAATACAGGGGCGTTAGGCATCAGAAGAGGGCTTTTGGGCTGCAGTATTGATCTACGCGAACTATGCAGCAATTATTCCGACCTGTATACTAGGGTCGGGCTTCGGGCTGCTTTTGAGAGATTGGAACCATGACTGGTGCGGTTTGGACATTGGTGCTTAGGGTCTAGGGTTCAGAGTTCTTGTTCGGATGTATGGGGGACCATCCCTAAACCCTAAACCCTAAACCCTAAACCCTAAACCATATTCAAGCTAGGAGCTGTTGGCTGAAGCCCGGTTGGCCTCCAGTGGGTGGTTGTCAAAATTATGGTCCCTTTTTGGGTCCTTATTTTAATACGGCACCTATTATTTAGGGTACCCCAAAAGGGACCATAATTTTGACAACTACCCCAGTATAAGAACATAGGACTGTCCAGAGCTCAGCCCTTGCGAGACACTGACGACGTGTAAAATACATGGGGGGCTGTTCCACTGAAAGGTTCCCTCTAAGGTACCATCTTTCTGGCAATTAGCTGCTGTCGTTCGCATCATCAAACCTAGGCTCTGAACAAACCCAAATCCATAGACCCCAAACCCTACACCCTTAACCCCAATAGAGGGACTCCAATGTAGACTATCCCTCGCATGGAGGGCGCCTTCTCACCGTTTGGCGAGGCGCATGGCAATTTTGGTCCGACAGGTCGGTCAAACGAGTTGTCAAATCTATCGTAATAATCGCTACATGATGGCATGATGCAAACCAAATTCTAATTCATTGGTCTAAATTAGCCGGTTGAGCACATTTAAAGTCATTAATAAGAAGAACCACAATGACGCCTACAAAGCCAGCAACAGGATTGCGACAGCAATCGTCGCTATCCGAAAAGTCTGGATTAAGGCCGCTCAAGAAGATTTCTCTGCGAGGTTGAAACTCAGCTCAGCAGCGCTTCGTTCGCCACGGGCTGCCCGGCACAATCTGAAGACCCACAGCGAGACTATGGCCCATGTCTGGCCTCTCCATTCTCCATGCCTAGGAGCCCTAAACCCTAAGCCGTAAACCACTCAGCCAGGTGTGGGTGTCCTTCCCGCCACAGGCGCGGGGGGGAAGCGTTACAGCATTTCTCTCAGCAGTGGGATCCCTTGCCGCACATGTTCCTGGTAAAAGATAAGGATACGCATATATGGGAACCTGCACTTGTTGCGCTCATTTTTATTTGCAAGAAGAGTTCCACCACTTAGTCGTGAATACTAGCGACATTCATCGGAGCAACCATGCCGGCTGATCTCTTTCTACTCATGGAACAACCGTGCAGTTTAGGACCCTCAATGTCGAGACATGGCTGCATCACATCCCCCCTCTTTCTCTCAGCTCTCTCTCTCTCTATATATGATGCTGTGGCAATCCGTCAGAGCATCCAACTGACAGCTAAGCTGCAGGAAACAAGTGTTGCAACAAGCTCAAAGGACAGAGCTTTCGAGACTTTCGACTTCCCATTCAAGTATAACCATTGTTATTTTGGGGGCCGGAAATAGCGTCATCTGCGAGAGGTGCGATCCTCGTCTGATCAGAACCAGAATGTATTGCTTCTCATGCAGTCTTGCATGCTGCAGTACCTTCTCGGAAGCTGGAGCCGAAGAAGCCCAGTGGTGAGCACAGTGTCGAGCACATCGTCCCGAGAAGCCTCAGGGTTTAGGGTTTAGGGTTCATGGTTTAGGGTTTAGGGTTTAGGGATCTATGACCGCGTGGCCTCTGAGAATGTGCGCAGATTGATGTATGCTGTAATTATGCTGCATGCGTATTCATGTGTATGTAGAGGTATTGCAAACCTTAAGTATGAGAAAACCCTAAACTCTAAACCCTAAACCCCTGAACCCTAAATCCTAAACCCTAAAACCCTGTAAGCCCTATAAACCCTAAACCCTAAACTAACCCTGAACCCTATAAACCCTAAACCCCTGAACCCTAAATCCTATTGTAAACCCTATAAACCCTAAACCCTAAACTAAACCTAAACCCTATAAACCCTAAACCGCTGAACCATAAATTCTAAACCCTAAAACCCTGTAAGCCCTATAAACCCTAAACCCTAAACTAAACCTAAACCCTATAAACCCTAAAACTTCTGAATGACAGTGCCGTGGAGCCTCGATCTGCTCTGGGCCCGGCCTGTGCCAGCGCTGGCGGCCGCACTGCAATCGTCTCCTTGGGTGTCGCAAGGGATCTTTTACATGTCGGGATTAGGGTTTAGGGTTTAGCAATCATCTCCTTGGCTGTCATAAGGGATCTTTTAAAGTTTCGAGGGTCTATAAGATTTCTAGAACTGTTCAGGTCCATAAGACTTCTACGGGAGTTCTCGTTCAAGCAGCTTAAGGTTTACTGAGCCTTGTTATAACACTCTGGGGATTCTTATGCCTAGGGTGAAAAAAATATTTGGTTCTTGCGCTTGCTGTGATCGTACTATAGAGGCCTTAAAAATTAGCATAGGGTTCTTGGGCCCATTATACTCGAAGGAACCCTCAAAATAGTGTAGGTAACTATTTAGGCACCTATATTAGGTATCATGGTCCTGGTCGTCATGGTCTTCGTGGTGCTCGTTCACTGTTTTATGCCGGCATAAGAAAGGCTTCAAACAGGCTTTAATGGGTTTCTTCAGGGCTACAAGTAAAGTTATTAGACGACAAGACAACATCGTGTTTACAAAGTTTGAAGCTCTGAATTTCAGATAGATGTACTGTAGGGGCCTTGATAATGAGAATGGGGTCCCGGGGTTCCTGATTATAACTATCGTATAATGTACCCCCCCCAAACCCTATTCTAATTTTTAAGGCCCCTACATGAAAGAAGTTCCTGAACCAGATCCAGGTTTCTGGACGTGCGCCGGCAAAGCTCGCAAAGCTCAATGCTGCTGAGTTCCGGATGATCTACGACCATTCTGACGAGGCTCACCAATCCTGCCAAGTATTAAAAGCCACTAAAGCTCGGTGACTGTGGGCACCTTCTGCTGTGGCCATAGAGTCTAGAGCAAACATGTTTCCAAATGCATGTCAGCATCTTTCTTGTGTTTGGGGGTCAAAGGCGGTGGTCAGTGTCGGACGCGATGACGAGGAAGTGGAGGGGCGTGGTGACGGTGAAGTGGATCTGGACCAAAACGTCTTCGGGTTCCTGACCCAAAGGGTCCAAGTACTAGTAACTAGTATAGTATATACTTTGGGGGCCCAAATACCTACTAAGTACCCACTATAATGGTACTTGGACCCTTTGGGTGAGTTATGACATTGAAGCTTCAGAGTGGCAGGGCAAAAGACTGAGGGTGCTATTGCACAGACCCAGACAAGTTGCAGACTGCGCAATCACGCCAACTACGGAGCCTGCCTCCAAAAAGCGATTTGCCTATATGATGCTACGAGTATGAACCACTCTCATGGACTCAAAAAGTCATCCTGCAATCTCATTACTGCAAGAAGTAAAAGCCCCCTAAACGCCAAGCGAAGGTTCACAGAGGCCAAAGGCGAGTTTGGCTCGCAGGCTTCCGCTTGCAGCTCTTCAAACTTGTCCAACAACTCTGCGCCCTCCAGGTTCGGATAGAATAAAGCTGCATAGACCAAGGCCACGAACTGACGGTTCTGCAGGTGAATCTCACACTTCTTCTCGACGCAGTTTAAGTTCAACTGCCGCTGGCTTTTGATCTTTACCCGCTCTTTTCTCCAGAGCTGCAGTAAGGGAAAGCCGTTGACATCGGGGTGCTTCAAAGCCACCTGCACCAGGGACACGACGCCTCGTTGATGGCACATGCTCGGCTGAATACCATAGCTTCGAAGCACTTCATCAGAAGAATCTTGACTGAGCCTGGGCTAATCATACCAGGGACATACTGCGAGTGAAACAGATGCGTTCGTTGTTTTGGCAGCTTAAACTACAGCCCCCGACAAATCTATGAAACGCTGTATAGTCCTCCAAACCCTGTAAGACCGCATGGAAGCCCGCAAAGCCCTGTAGGATTTCGGGCCTAGTAATTTAGGGCTTCGGATTTAGGGTTTACACTTCCTTGTAAGCCCAAAAATCCTAAGTTGCACAAACACGACCTCAAACTCTGAACACGAAACCCTCGACCCCTAACCTGTACATCCCTAAAACCCTAGGCCCCAAAGCCG